GCTCCTAATCTGAATCCTTGATTTTACAGGTGATGAAAATGAGTCTAAAAGAGGTGAAATGAATGTCAAAGGTCACACTCTAATCAAGCCTGGACTTCCGAATCTGAATCCAATGATCAATCCAAGCAACACACATGGCAGTGCCCAACCTTTGGTTTGGGGCATGGCATTAGGATTTATTTAATAAAAATCAATTGCTCTATTTTACTATTCACCAAAAGCAATGTGATTTCTTTGATTCCATTGATCTTTTTTTAGGATAGTTTAGGAAGCAGGTGAAACAGTGATGGCTTTTTTTTCAATACCAAAACAATCAAAAGGGAAATACACGTAGAATCAGGAGACTACAGCAAGACGAACACAGGAGCTGGAAGCAGATCTGGTGAGTTCTGGCTCTTCCACTTCCTAGAGTCATAAGTTATTGCCCCTCTCTGTGCCTTGATTTCCTTCTCTGGAAAAAAAGGCATCGTTCTAGACAATCTCAGATCCCTTCCAGTTCTAGATCCTATTTCACCATTTTAAGGAGGCAAGAAGGACTAATACTGTGAGCTCCCAGACCAAAACAAGAGTGTTCTTTTTCAAGGTTTTGTGTTTCCAGTCATCGGGGTTCTACTTGGAAGTCACAGAAATATGGGTATTTACTAGCAGGAAGAAGTCACCAGTTGAATGAGTTTCTGCTGCAACAAAGGTAAGCACTTGGAAAGATGAAATTGAAGGGCAAGATGATACTCCCTTTCCTGCTACAACACTAAGGACATATCTAGAGGAAGGGGTACCATTAGTATCCTTCCTTTTAAATACTACAAATGTGAAGAAATATTGCATTGGTCTGAATATAAGCTACATCCTTCTCCCATATCTGATATGCAAAATTAAGTGTGGTATTTATTTTTCCAATGTGAATCCAAATGAACTTTAAAAAAAAAAGCTTTCAAGGAAAGCTCATTTTAAGAATTCGGCTTATATTGAGGAGGACAGAAGGGAGTGTTTATTCAAACCAATATAATATGCAATTATGTTTCATAGACAATAGGAAAAACTGTTAATCTAGAAGAATTCTCAAGGCATTTGGGGGTTAAAGAAAAAAATTCTAAAAATGAGATAATTTTGCAAAGCGTTGTCCAGTTCCTTTTGCCCTGGAAATAGCTGAAGAACAGACATATATTGAAATTACCATTCAAAAGCCTTAGTCATTCCTGATTGAGCACCATGATTTAGAAAGTCCCACAAGGAGTATGCAGTCATTACTTCACTAAAGGTGAAGGGACAATGAGGGGAAAGAAAACGATAATAATATCAAATACTAGCTAAACATAACAGGCAAAATCCCATTTGCAAAAACTCAATGAAATAAACAAAAATCAATGAGCAATCTGATGGTGTTCTTGCTGGAGCTCCAAACTGGTGGTGTTTAAGAATCATTTGGCTAGCTATGGTCAGCTATCTTGCAATGTTGATGTTTATAATACAATATCTAAGCTATCATTTCTTCTGCAGCACTGAATAATTCTCACCACTGTTAAAAGCTTCCATAATCAATACAAATAGGGATTTTAATTACTTTGTGATGACTGTCTTCTAAAGGAGCTCTCCCCCATGCCTCCTGGTTTTCCTGGTCTCCTTCAAGACCCAGCTAACATCCCGCCTTCTACAAGAAGCCTTTCCTAGTCCTCCTTAATTTTAATTTCTTCCCTTGGAGACTGCCCCAGTTCATCCTGGCTTCATCTTATTTGTACATAGTTGCTTGCAAGTTGTATTCCCCATTCTACTGTGAGCTCCTTGCTAGTCTAGGACTGTCTTTTATTTTTCTTTGTATACTCAACATTTAGCACATAGCAGGAGCTTAATAGTGCTAGTTGACTGAATGATAAAAACCAGTGTACAAACAATAACACCTTTAGTCTAGGATTATGGCCCCAAACTCTTTAAGTCACCATCTTTCCAGTCAATCAAGTCTGCAACTTTGGTATATTTCTTGACTATTTTTTCTAGGTTACCCCATATATCCAGCTTTTTTTTTTTAAAGTTCATTTGGATTCACACTGGAAAAATAAATATCACACTTAATTTTGCATATCAGATATGGGAGAAGGATGTAGCTTATATTCAGACCAATGCAATATTTCTTCACATTTGTAATATTTAAAAGGAAGGATACTAACGGTACCCCTTCCTCTAGATATGTGCTTAGTGTTGTAGCAGGAAAGGGAGTATCATCTTGCCCTTCAATTCCATCTTTCCAAATATCAAGATATTTCATATATGTCCTCTTATCTCTACTAACAAAGTGAAAATGCAAGTACAGGCCCTCATAACGTCTCTCTTAGATCACTATAATAGCAAGTTCTAATTGGATTCACTGACTCAAGTCTCTTTCCACTACAACCCATGCTCTACACAGCTGCCAAAGAGATTTTCCTCAAGTTTAGGTCTGACCATGTGACTCCCACCTCTATCCTCCTGGCCCCTGCCATAAATTCCAATGGCTCTTACCTCTAGAATCAAATAGAAACTCCTCTGTTTGGCATTTAAATCTTAGGCACAACCTGGGCCCGTCCTAATTTTTCAGTCCTCTTACATATGACTGCCCTCCATGCACTGTGCAATTCAACCTACTGGTCTACTTGCTGCTCCTGAAACATGGTGCTTTCTACTCCTAGTGCTTAACACAGCATTTGATCTTTATTAACAACTTAATAAATGCTTGCTGATTGATTGATTCAAAAACTTGCTCACTGTGGTTCAGGCTTGCTGAACTGCAAATGTGACCAAAATTCATGATATCTGGATGTCACACGATGTGTGCTGGACAAGCAAATTGAGAAAACGGTACCAGATCAATTAGACAAAAGCAGGAATTTAGGTACATTAAGTATAGAATCAGGAAGAGGGGGTGAATTTGTAATTTCATCGGTATAGGGAACTCCAGGATGAGGAAAGCCACTCTAGCAGTGTCGGTCAGCACCTTCTCCACAAGTGAGAGTCTTCAGAGGGCTGAGGAATGAACACGATGAAAGCTTAAGTGACCTTCCCAGGGCTCCAGAGCCAGTGTGTCAGAAGTGTGTGCGCTCAGGTCTTCCTGGATCTAAGGCCTGTTTTCTATCCACTATGCCATGCTGCCTCTCATTAAGTAGACTAGTAAAAATACAAATTGAAAAATGCTGATAATAACACGTAAAGATATTAGTAGGCAGGATGAGCCCTAAAAACATATGCTATCATTATTAGAGAGACAGTAAAAAACAAAACAAAACAGGCATATCACTACTGTATTGATTTCATTAGTTAACACTGGTAGACAACAGGAAAAAAAATTAAAAGTGACATCTTATACGAAGTAAAATGACTTATTTAGTCTAGTAACATAGTCTAGTTAGGTATGTGAATTCAGTATTCTCCTAAGATCTACATCAAAGACCTACTTGATGCCTTGTTATGGCATGCTCTCCACCCAAACTGACAACTTTGGCAGATCCTACTACATAGCAAAGGCTTTGTGAGGTGATTCAGCAGTGTAGGGGAGTCACCTGCTGAGTCTGGAGACACTTGTCACTGAAAAGTTAGCCAGCAGGTGATGATTTTATTGTGGGGAGTAGGGGGGTTGGGGGGAAGGCTGAGGGGAAGCACGTGGAGGAGCAATTTATCTGCTTAATGGAATAAAATGGTCACAGTTTAAGAAATGTGGTCAGGGCAGGAGCCTGTTTTTATTTATGAAGAAAATCAACAATGAAAAAAAAACCAGGGTGACAGTCATAAATGAAGATGACCACATGCCAGTGAAAGCACTATCTACCAGAAGGTGGCCTGCAAGGGACAAAACATCTCCTTAGACACGGACATATTTTAGGAATGGTAGAAATAGTTATGATCAAATTTGATGACTAAGGAAGGTTTGGTTCTGAGAACTGATATGCCAGTGGTTTCCAATCTTTTCCTGATGGGAAACTACGTTCGATTTCTTGGATGTCCTAAGACTGCTACAGAGGAAGACCAGAGAAGCTGGATGCTAATGACAGTAGGGAGGATGGTGGGGGTGAGATGAGGCAGGTGGCTCGAGGGGCTTTCTACAACTCATACACATGAGGGCAGGGCTCTGGAAATTGAACATGATCAACCAGTGGTAAGCCTTGAGAGATGCAGAAGAATAGCATTTTTCAGTGATGGCAAATGAGAAATTTAATAATAAGATTAATTCAGTGACTTAATTTCTTTCTAATGCAGGATTATTCTCTATGGCATGTTTTTAGTGTTGCTAAGTCCTTCTATTCCCCCCAATTGGACTTAATTATTATTTCAATTATGATGCATAATGTACCTAAGCTTTTGAGATGCTATAAAGCATGCCTAAAGAACACAAGCTCTGCCCTTATTTTACTTAGTAAATGATACAACTATGTCATTGGTTTAAAAATCTCAGAGGATTCTCTGGTTTTGTAATAACTTTCAATTTACTCTATTATCTATGTTGCAAAAATTGGTCTGTTTTCCCAATATTTTTCCACTAAGTTCTGCCACTTCCCCAACATTTCACAACTAGCAAAGAATTTTTAGGTGGGTATAATATATATAGCTCCACTAAAACTACTTTAACTGTCTAAGGTTCCTTTATCTTTAGATGTTATTCAAATGGAATTCTGGGACATTACTTGTTGATGAGGAAGAAGAAATGGTGCATTACTAGGAGGTGTGTGCCACATTTGAACAATCCAAAATCTGCTATAGCACTGAAGAAAGAATAAGCAAATCAACAATCACCAATCAACCAATAAATATTTTTAAGTGTCTACTATGTCAGGCACTGTGCTAAGCACTGGACAGAGAGAAGCATAATTTATAAGAGATTTTACTATCACAGAAACCTAAAATGTTAGAAACATGGCCTTTGAAACAATGTGACAATGATGTACAACAATAATTTGACTAAATATCTAGTAAAGCTGCTTCTTTTTTTTTTTAGTTTAAACAATACAACTAGTTAAAAACATTCTTCATTTTCCTACCTGAATTAGATGTGATGGTACTGTGATGATACAGGCTGACAGAGACATTCTGAGAAGACCACGGAGGACATACAGGAATCGTGTAAGACTATGCATATGTTCAGGGCTGTCAGCACAGCAGATGTCATCTCCCCACAAAGGGGAGCCAAGACTCTGAATCCCAATTCTTAAAATGTTTTTTTGTTTTTTCTAAAAGGCAATGGAAGAAAGTAATTTATTAATTTTTTGGTTAATTGGTAGGAGCATATTTATTTTACATGTGTCAGAATACACTGTTTTATTTACATTAAGACTTGGGATCAAAAATTAAAAGTGAGGTATAATGTAAAAATTAATTGATCAAAGTATTGAAATAAATCCTTTTGCTTCAGGTATTTATTAAAGCCAGGCAGCTAGGTGGTGCAGTGGAAAGAGTGCCAGGGTTAGAGGTGATCTTTCTGAGTTCAATCTGATCTCAACACTAACTGTGTGACCCTGGGCAAGATACTTAACCTTGTTTACCTCAGTTTCCTCATCTGTAGAATGAACTGAAGAAGGAAATGGCAAACCATTTCATCATCTTTGCCAAGAAAACCCCAAATGGGGTCACAAAGAATTGGACACAACTAAAATGATTGAACAACAACATTTATTATAGCTAATATTTTACTATAAAAAGTTATAAGAGAATAAAATTAATTTTCCCCTTTTGAAAGTTAGTTATTTCTAAAAATGTGAATGAAACTATCAAATCTCTATTAGTATAAAAAGGTAAGAAATTGTATTAGCTTGTCAATTCACGTAAAACAATGAAGAGAAGTTCAAATTAGAATTTTCAACATTAATTCCTTTGAAGTTCTTACATCAAAACATGAAAGCTCTTGGCTAAATCTGTGTTATTTAACCACAACTTTTTTTCACTGTATTCTATTATAACTGAATGTTGATGGTAGTGATGGTTTTGGGGAAGGGAAGGTTAATCTTAACCCCTTATCTCTGAAAAGGTTCAATCTTATCTTTATTGTTACGAAGTCTTTAAAAAAATAAACTTCCAGGATCTTACAAACAATTTGTGTTAAATTTACTCATTCAACAAATATCAACAAATAGTTCTTATGCACCTCTTATGTGACATGCACTATGTTAAGAGCCAGGTATATAAAGTCAAAAATCAAAGTCCCTGACCCCAAAGGCACTTACATCAGGGGAGACAACATGTATCACTCAAACCAAAATAGACGGAGTAAATGCAAGGTATTTTGGTGGGTGAGCTGGGGAGCAGAGCACTGGAAGATCAAGATAGGTCTCATTGAAATGGTAGTGTTTGAGCTGAGTGTCTAAGGAGACCAGGGATTCTGAGAGGCAGCCGCAAGGAGGGACTGTGTTCTAGAAGGGGAACAAGCTTTCCAAAGCCCATGAGGGTCATGGGCAAGGGACAGCAAGTTGGCCAGACTGACTGGACCATTAAGTGCATGAAAGTGAATGATGGCTAGTAAGCCTGGAAGGCAGGTTTTAAATGCAAAACAGAGAAGTCTGTATTTGATATCATCATCATCATCATCATCATCATCATCATCATCATCACCATCCTCCTCCTCCTCCTCCTCACTAACATTTATACAGTGCTTACTAAGTGCCGGGCACTGTGCTAAGCACTTGACATATGTCATCTTATTTGATTCTTACAACAACCATGCAATGTGGGTACTATTATTATCTCCATTTTACAGAGGAGGAAACTGAGACAGAGGTTATGTGACTTGCCCAAGGTCATAAGGCAATGTATCTGAGGTTGATATTGAACTTGGGTCTTTCTGACTTCTGCCTGGTGCTCTAGCCACTGTACAGCCAGCTTCCCCCCAAAGGCAATAAGGAACAGCCTGAGCTTCTTGAGCAGAGGGAGACATGGAGAGACAAAATGGTGCAGTGGAAAGAGCTCTTGAGTTAGAATCCACGGACATCAGTCCAAACCCTCCCTCTGTCACCTGCTTCCTCTGTGACATTGGACTAGGCACAACCTCTCTAAGTCTTATTTTTCCCATCTATAAAATGAGAGTATTGGATCAGACAGCCTTCTGAGGTGCCTTCCAGCTCCAAACTGATGGTCCAATGAGTTTTGGCATGTAGGTGGGGCCCAGCTTACACAGGGAGACACAGGAGAAAGGCTCCATGGAGGAGGCAGCCCTTGAGTTGAGCCTGAAAGGAGAGGAGTATGCCGCTCGACAGAGATGAGGCACAAGTACCCGTCAGGCACGGTGGCGAGGGCTGGTGCAAAGGTGTAGGGGTCAGTGTGAGCTCGATGCATTCAGGGAACAGCAGGGCTGGAGAGCAGAGATGATGAGGGGGAATGCTGTACAAGGAGGAAGGAAAGGGAGGAGGCAGCCAGACAGGAGGGGATTTTTAAATGCTAGGATAAGGAGTTTGCATTTTAACCTCGTGGCAACAGAGAACCACTGAAGGTTCCTAAGTAGTGGGGTAAGTAAAAATTCTTATGGTCAGACTCGTGCCTTAGGAAATAAAAGTCCCAGAGCTGAGACCCAAAGGTATTTAGCATACTGACACCAAGATCATGGCAACAGGAAGAAGGGTTTTCACAACCCATTGAGGTGACCCATGCTGTTTGCCAGGCCGATAACTTTTGGCTTGTCAAGTTTGAGACAACTATCTAAGCCATTCTAACAAAGGAAATACTTCTGCAAAGGCCTACCTGAGCTATTTTAGTCATAAAACTTTCCAGAAAAACCTGGGGTGAATAAAAATAAACATCTGCCAAGGATAAACATTCAGAAAGTTATCTGTATAATTCTGACAGGAAAAAAAAATGAAATGAACATTAGTTATTTAAACATGTTTTACCTAGAAATAAAGGCTTGATATTTTATGATATTTAAGTTTTCTAGAATTTAGAGTTAGTAGGGACCTTGGGGTAGCTTGTCCAATGCTTTTATTTTACAAGGAAGGAAACTGAGGCTCAATGAGCTGAAGTGATTTGCCCAGTGTCATGTAACTAGTGAAACAAGAGTCCAGAATGTGAAACCAGCTTCTGCATTCAGCGCTCTCACTGCAGGCCTAGTTTTTAATGAGGCAAATAGAATCACAGATTTAGAGCTCCAAGAAATCTGAGGTTCTAGTTAGTCCCATGACTTCACAGATGACAGAACTGAGGCCCAGGGAGCTTACATGATTGGCCCCAAGTCACAAAGGTAGTAAGTGGCAGAATGGAGCTTCACTTTCAGTTCCTCTGATTCTCAATCCTAAGTTCTCTCTAGCACCCAGAAGGATGTCAGCTGTCTCTGGGCATGGTGATCCAAACAAGCACAGGGAAATACCAGGACATTCCTGGCCTAGCACCTTAACCACCAGGCCACGATAAGATGTCAGTTACTTCTGCATCAAAACGAACCACTCATAATGATACAGAAATCCTATGAAATTAAATCCGTTAATTTCTCAAACAGGTATATCTCAGCCCAGTGAACCTGATCCTGGAACTCACAAGTGGGCAAGCTGTGTGTTCTGTTCTATTCAGTTAGTATTTTGTGGATGGAAGAGAGCAATAATAATGAAGGGGTTTAAAAGTTAGTTTTGAGAGAAAAGATGAAAAGGAGTCATCAGCACACTTCAACAATGGGAAGGGATTCTGTAGTTTAGAGAAGATCAAAGGAATGTGCTTGTGTCACAGTGGCAGGGGTTAAATCCACCCTGGGAAGGCACCTCGGGGTTGTGCGGGCACTGAGCCTCAGCCATGGTCTTTCTCCAATCTTCCTTTCTGGGTACTATGGTAAGCCTAGAATAGGCTATTACAGATACAAGGTGCCCTCTTATAGGAAATAGAATGGATGGTCCAATGCTTTCCAGCAAGTGGTAAATATTGAGGGATTTTGTTGTTAGGACACATAAAGAGAAAGAGCTCCCCAGAAAAGTCACTTCTACCCCAGCAATTTATGGTAATTCTATGTAGGTTTTGGATGCAGTGACTCAAGCATAGATAACACTGTGATTAAGTCACATTTAGGGATGGTCACTGGATCACTGCTGTAACACTGAAAGGGCCTTGGAAAGGCATTTGCTGATACCTACTAGAATTTCAAAGGTATTTCTGATGGAAGAGTAGAGAGGGGCTGGGAAAAATGGGGAGAAGGAACTCTTCAGAATCTGAGCAGAGTCCGAGATCATCAAGAATCCTGTCCATATTACGTCCTGAAACAGTAGTTTTGTTTAGAGTCTCAAAAACAAAAATGAGACAAGAGGGAAGAAAAGAAGGAAGGCCATGAATAAGCCTGAAGGGCAGGGGTAAAATGTATAATTAAGGGATGGCAGCATCACTTTGTTAATACCTGTGCCTATGTCTGATAAAGTCATATCCAAGTCATTAACTCAGTATCATCATCATTATCATCATCATCATCATCATCATCATCATCATCATCATCATCATCATCATCATCACCACCTTTATCAATATAAAATACTTAGCAAGTGTATAAATGAACATGCTGCTTATACTAAGCACTGAATGTAGAAAACAACAGATGTTGGTTCCCAGACTTAAAAAACCTTGGAATCACAGAAAGTTACCCTGATATGGACAAATATAGAGCAGAATTAAAATACTAAACCAAGAGATGAATGACTGGCATAGCAATTAAATACCATATCAGTCAAGAGTGAATTCATGCTATGGGGGAGGAACAGGATATTATATAATCAGGATAAAGATTCAGAAGAAATAGCAATGTCTACTATGATAATGATAAAGGAATCTTTAGACAAATTTTGGAACTTTAAAAACATACAGAAGTAGATGCTCTTTTTAAGGAGCCGCATGATAATCCAGGAGGTTTCTGATGTTTTCAGGACATGCTTCCACACCTCTAATCAGAGCTCCTCACAGCATAATGATCACATCAGAGGCCATGGTGGAGTCACACATTTATCCTTGCAATGAAATGGACTTGCATGGTGATAGAGAACATTAGAAAAGGTACATTTTTTTTGGTCTAAAGAAGGCAGTTAACAGTAGAAAAAACATTAATTTAAAATTTCTGAGGCGTATTATCCCTATGTTACACTACAAATTAATGAGAGTCATGCTTGCTATTATGGAATGAAATAATTAGCCAAGCACAAGAGTCATAAAAATTGTTCCTATAAAACTGAGTTCTATTTAAATCATTAGAACTCTTTAGTTCAAATATTAAGTTAAATTAATTCCAACGTTGTGTTTTCATTGTGCTTTTAAATTTATACTGTGAACTGTTTGTATAACCTTAATTCATAGTTTAAAATTAAGCTGAATTATGACAGCAGTTTGTAAATATGTCCACTCCATGCATTTCCACTGATGAACTGCACTCTCTCATTAACTGGCTGTGTTAAATATTTTCTATTTCTTTTCTTTGGAAAATAAATCTATATGACCTCTTCTAAGTAGCTGGGTTTTGCTGGGGTGGGGGGAGGGAGTGGTGAAGTTGAAGAGGAAATAGGCATTGTCAATTTCTAAAATGGAAGGAATTTAAGCTTCAGGAAATTACTTTGAAATCAGAATGATGATTTTTTTTCCTTTTTTTTCAGAATGATGATTCTTGAAGAAGCAAATGATAAATGAAAATATGGCATCTTAAAAGTCATCTAAAATTTTTTTTCAGAATGATGAAAAAGCAAATTAAATGAGATAATAAATCATCTCTAAAGTTTAAAATTCTGGAAAAAACTGGCCTAAAATAATATGTAATTGGGGAAATAATTAGGGGAGAGATAAAATGAGAAATCTTTCCATGGATTATTTTTAGCTTAATAGCTTTCAATGTAAAGATTTCCGTGCCTTTCATTTTCATGAAAGGCAATGATTACAGTAGTGGTGGGATTTTTTGTTAATCAAAACAAGATTCAAATTATGGCCAGCCAATTATGATTTTTTGTATAACATATAAATATTTTCTAGAATGTAGAGACATTTTCACACCTAACATCTGAGAAAAATAAACATGATTTTATTGCAATCCAGTGGCAGCTTGCTTACTGCTAGCTCCTGGGGTTGTGAGAGGAAAGGGAAAAGAGAAGGAAGAGGAGAAGGAGGAAGGGGGAGAGAAAGAGAGAGAGAGAGAGAGAGAGAGAGAGAGAGAGAGAGAGAGAGAGAGAGAGAGAGAGAGACTTTCTTTGCTGCTGCCTTTGCTTTCTGCATGCTGTAAAATTTCCTGCTTTCAGACCTGTCATCCTGTTGGAGGAGCAGCAGCAGCTCGGCCCACTGTACTGTGGGAACTGTTATGACATGCCTGTTACCATGGTTACCACAGCAAGTCGGGGAGAGGTGCCTGTCAGGGACCAATTTACCTCTCCAGACGGGCACTGCCACCAAAGGGGGACATGGTACCCATAAATCTTAGCAGAGACTGAAACTAGAGCAACAATATGCAAAACAAAATTATTCTAAACATCAGCTTCCACAGAGAAAACCATCAGGCAAAAAAAAAAATCTCCAATGTGGTTCTATTGATATGTGTAAGTAACGCTCTCCCTTCATGTCAGCAACCACACAAACACGAACCCACAGGTTTTAATCTGCTATTCAAACTGCATGGCAAAGTGAGACATTGAATTGTTACATATTCTTCCACAAAGAAAGTACTAAACTGTGTGGGGTAGTAAAGTTCACAAATGTATTTTAACCTATATAAATTAGAAGAATATATATGTGTATGTACGTGTCTGTGTATATGTGTGTGTGTGTATGTGTGTGTGTCTGAATGATAATTAGAAGAATATACAGAGCTAATAATGTTTTCCCTCCCCCTCGAGATTCATATAGGAAGGACTTCTTTATTTGCACTAATAAAAAACCATGATGTTCTGAAAATATGACTGCCTAAACAACAGAATTTTAATGCTACAGTAAGCATCTAAATGATGGAACAGAACAGAAATAAAGAATTCTGGGTGAAAATGGGACCTAGAAATAAGTTTCCCCTTTCAGTTGTTTGTTTTATATACATATATGTATAGCATTAGGAATTCTGAAGATTTTCCCAAAATAAATGCTTAAATTTAAGCCTTCTGGAACATTTATATTTTAAAATATTTTACAATGCTTCTTTTACAGTGAAATGAGAAATATGATTTTTCAAATTCAGTAATATAATCCACAGATTTACATAAAGAGAAATAAAACTTTTAAGATGATTACAGTACAGAAGGAATTCTGAGGGGGAGTCCTGAGTAAAATATGAAAAAAAAAACTTCCTGAGTGTTCTGCCTCTTGCATTTATTTTTTAAATATAGTAACTTATCTATTTTAGTAGCTGCCAATAGGCACTTACAAATAATTATGGCCAGCAGTACATTTGCACATCCTACTTGTATCCAGTGAGAACAGAGCTAAGACTCCAAATGCACATTAACATACGAACCATGGCCATTTCTGCTCTGCTCGTTTACGTCATCTCTGCTTGGAAACAGCCTGTTCACTGTTGATTATTCCAGTATCTTCTGGGTCCACCCCTAGAGAAAGCTTTCAAAACAACATTCTCCGTGATTACAGAAATCACTGAAGGTGCTCAGTACCTGGGGACAGGAGCCATCAAATCCTTCCTCAGACATGATTCTCTGGATGGAGTGAAGAAGCTTTGTGTAGCCATGGGTCAGAGCACTGTGGGTAAGAAACAACTCATGGAGTATAAACGAGTTGACTGCACAGCACATACAAAAAAGTCAATAAAAGTATTAGGTGATCATTCAGTTCTTGAGCCACAATGAGTTTAGCATTTAGGTAAAAGATGTACAGGAATCAAGTTAGAGTTGCGAAGATCCTCCATACAAATGAAGACATTCTGAGAACAAATTGCAATTGCCTCCTGTTCACTAGTTCAGTGCCCTTGATACATTGGGAAAGGTAAAAATCTGCAGAGACTAAGATGGCTTAATTATGTCAGGCTCAGTTACCTCCTAGAAAATTAATGATTTAATGAAGCAACCTAAAAGATGAACCACTATAGCATTTCAGGAGTAATCATAGATAATTAACACATAGTTAATGAACTGCTATGCCAAGTACACCTGATCAATGTCCTGATCACCGGAGCTCATCTTCTAGCAGTTTTAATTTTCTCACAACAACCTGCTTTAATAATAGTAATTAAATAACTTGATCTTTTAGCATAAATGAAGAAAAATAGGTGCAGTCTCCAGTGAATTTAATATCTGCTCCTTTCTTTTCATATACACACACACATATGACTATTAGGCTAGTAAATTTTTGGCATACAGTCTAAAATTAGCCACATTACAAATATTTCTCTCATAAACCTGGAAACTCTTCTCACTCCTATTAGCTTTTCGAAGCATTTTATAAGCATTGTGAAGACTAAGTTAATAAGGTTCTGGAGCATAGCTGTTCCATGTGCACTTAAGCAGTTCTGTGGTACAGGACCCCAGGGATAGGACTGTATAAACTTTATGGTGAAGAGCCATAGAACAATCACACAGACAGAAGAAATGCTTCAAAGACAGAATAATTTGAAAAGCAGTGAGACACGAATGGAAAAGCTAGCCAACATATAAAGAGACTGCACTAGTGTGAGGACATCGGAGGCTGGGTGGCTCGGTACACACATCTGCACAGCTCTGTAAAGGCTATTACTGTCGATTAACATTTGGCTAGCGTCCACAGCTGGACGCATAGAAAGATGGAGGGCATACCCAAAGATTAGCCTTTGCTGAATGTAAAAGGAGCAGCGAAGAATGAAAACATGTTTACTACTCTGTTAAACGACTGTGTCCACAGAAAATAAAGGTAATTAAAGGTATCTGTAGGTAGCAGCAGCCACCATTTTTCAAAAGGGAAGCTCTATTTGCAACCAAAGTGAAAAGGACAACGCCATTGGGAGGAAGTATCTCTAATGGGCAATAATGTCACGATTTTACATGTTAACATGTGCATGTCTGCGCTGGTGAGTTCAGTTGGCTAGAACACAGTCTTCATTTTTGAATATGACGGGTTCAATTCCCCTACGGGCCAGTAAATTTTGAAAAGGAGGAAAACACAAACCCAACCTATTTCTATGCTGCAGATTGTATCTCTACATCAGTTAGCCATTTTACAAATTCAAATGTTGGCCCAAGAGAGTCTAGGCCACAAAAGATGAAATACTTAGGGCACCTCTTCTCCCTGAAGAAGTAGAACAGAACTCAAGACTACTGATCATGAGCCATTAGGAGTTCAGATATTTACGACAAAGTCTCTTAAGGCTCTCCTCATACACAAAAAGTTGGTTTAGACTCAAAGTTCTTCTAAGTATGCATTTATTGCGTCTTCTTTACTTCTCTGGACAAAAATTAGGTGTGGTGTTGTGCATCTTTATCCTGGAATGCTGTATTACCTACACCACAAACAACATCTGTTGCTTATGCCACAGTCGCACATTCTGAATTCGATTCAAGTAGGTTCCTTTCAATTCTAGAAGCATTTCTTCAGCGCCTATTAAGTGCCAGACACCAGGATACAAAGACAGGAAGAGTTGCTGTACTCAAGTTTACCTTCTGGAGGAGGGAGTGGGGGATGAAGGGTGAGGAATTTAACATGTATACAAGATAATCTAAGGGAGGAAAAAGAGAGGACTAACAGAGGCAGAAGGAGGAGAGGAGAACAGAGAAGAAGAGACAGAGAGAGGAAGGGAGGGAGGGAGAAAGAGGAAAGAGAGAGGAGAGAAAGGAGAGAGAGAAAAGAGAGAACAAGGGGAGAGAAGAGAAAGAGAAGAAGAGAGAGGAGAAAGGGGGAGGGAAGGAGAGAGAGAGAGACAGAGAGACAGAGAGACAGAGACAGAGACAGACAGAGAGACAGAGAGAGACAGAGGAGAGAGAGGAGAGACAGAGACAGAGAGAGGGAGAGGAGTGCACATCTCAGGTACAGAGATGGGGGAATCGGTTAGTGGGCTCAGGGGAACAGCAAGTGGACCAGTTGGGCTAGAATGTGGAGTGTGTCAAAGGGAATGCTATGAAGCAAGTCAGGAAAGATAAGTGGGAGCCAGTTTAGAGAAGGCTTTCAACGCCAAACTGGTTAGTTTGTCATTTATCCTAAAGGCAAGGGGGAGCCACTGAAGCTATCCCTGTATCGGGAGGACTATTTTGGCAGGCATGAGAAAGATGGAGTGGAAGGACAAGAGATGCACTCACAGACCAAGTATAACACATGGGTGCAAGATGAAAAGGTCATGAGCCAAGCCAGTAGCCCTGTGCGTAAAGAGAAGTGGGCAGATAGAAGACATACTGTGGTAGTAGAACTGACAAGAAGTGGAATCTGATTCCACACAGGGGCTGAGGGAGAAAAAAAAAGTCAAGGCTGAGTCGGAGTGAGTCCCTGAAAAGATGATGGTGGTCTCTACAACAACTGGGGATTTTGGAAGGGTGTTTTAGTGACAGGAAGATAATGAGTTCCAGTTTGGACATGTCGAATTTGAGATGCCCATAGGCAAGATGTCAGGCAAGCAGTCAACACACTGGAATTCAGGAGTAAGATCAGGGTGGTGTCATGACTTGTAGCTTGAGATTTAGTTATGGAGACCTGGATTCAAATGGCATTTCAAATACTTGATAGGTGTGACTCTGGACAAATCACTTAATCTCTCTTAGCTTTAGTTTTCTCATCTATAAATGGAGGTGAATACTAGCAGTAACCACAGGGTTGTTGTGAGGATCAAATGAGAAAATGTGTGTAGGATTTGAAATGCTACGTAAATCTGAGTTACCATCTTCCTTATTGATAGATTGGGTAGTAATCTGCACAGTGATAATAACTGAACCTCTGAGGGAGGGTGTGTGTGATGAGTTCTCCAAGGGAAAGAGTATGAAGAAAGAAGACAAGAGGGTACAAGACAGAATTATGGGGCTACCCACACTCAATGACTGGGAGATGACTGATGATCCAGCCAAGGAGTGTAAGGGATGGTCAGACTGGTAGCATGAGGATTGGGAGAAACCAGTTAGAAAAAAACAAGGAAGGAGATCAGATAAGAATTGGCTGGGGAGGGTGGGGAGGAGATGGTTGAAGGTCACATTATCAAAGCTGCAAAGAGGTCCAGGAAATGAGGTTTGATAAAAGGGCGCTGGATTTAGCAATTAAGAAATTATTAGTAAGCTTGGAGAGAACAGACTCAGTGGAGGGGTAGAGATGGAAGCAAGCCTGTAAGAAAAGTGTGGTGTAAGAAAATAGAGGCAATGAGTGGAGACACATTTTTGAGAGTCATTAAAGTCTATCTAACATTTCCCTGAGATTTGCTGACTCTGCTGCTGTGAGAACAGCAACGACCCCACATGATATTCGTGAAAATACATTAAACTTCTTTCTCACTTCAAGGTTGCAACTCTGTTATGTAAACAGTGAAACATTTCCTCAAATAGGGTAACTCTTCTAAGAGAAATAAATATTTCCATTAACAAAATTAAAATGAAAAAAAGACATGAATTTAAATTGTATTTATAATAGATATAAAATCCCTTGATAACAAATATAAAAATCCCTTCTCCTTCCCCCATCTTTTCTTGTATTTGTGGTAAACTAGTAAAACAAACACCAGACAGATAAGGTAGGTAGATCTCTTTGGTGCAACAGGGACGGGATGAGACATAACGAGGAATTTGAACATTACTTTCTAAAAGTTCACATACCACTACTGGCTGAAAGACCCACTTTTTATGGCACTTGGATATTCACCTTGTGACAAGGCTATCTACAGCCCATGCACACTGCAAAGGATGACTCGTGTGTGTTATACAATACATCAAGAACCTCTAGAAGAGAAAGGGGGTGAATGGATGGCCTCAGGGCATCAGTGGTACCATGAAATTTAAAACAATTTAACATTAAAATATTAAAAGACTCTGAGGCTAACACAGAATGGGCTATAATCTGTACTAGTAGGAGGGAGAACCACAGCTATGAGATAATGGAGCCTTCAAAGTACTGAAGCAAGTTCAGCTATTAATTTGTAATTATTTTAAATAAAAACCCAAAACCTCCAGTGGACAGTACTTGACCAGGAGCATAATTTTCAAGCCTTGCCTAGGGCACACAAATGTCTTTCCCCTGCTCTACTAAATACTTTACTGAACATTTTGATAGTGAATTATTATGTGTAATTCAATTTATACTTTGAATTATGTGCAATGAAAATGTTATTAATAATAATAATACTTAGCATGTCTAGAGATTTGATCCTCACAACAACCCTGAGAGGTAGGTGCTATCATTATCCCCATTTTACAGATGAGGAAACAGAGGCAGATGGATGTTGAGTGACTTGCTCTATCCACTGCCCCACCAACTATTGCTAAATATTAATTAAACCTAAAAGTTGATTAGGCACAGCAAATTTATAAGATACATAAATTCTTTGTTATTTTAATTTTTATGTTGCTACTAAAAACTTTTAAGTATGAAGTTTCATATATATATAAATAATATTTATTCTTTTTTATTATTATTATTTTTTTTTGTCTACTAGGCTAGTGACTGATAAAGTAGGAATCGTCAAGAAGGTATCCTGATTACAAACATGATACTGACTTCCTTACTGATAGTTTCTAAGCATTAACACAGGTTAGGTTATCAAGGGTATGACAAATAAGCCTATTATCTGTAAGTAGGACCCATTA